TCTAACTTGCATTATCATAAGTTATAGCATTTATACTTTATAACTATGTGTATTTTAAAAACGTTTTATTTAACTTATATTATATCAAAATTATGAGTTGGAAGGTTATTCAGTTACTTTTACGGTGTATGTTAAATTGCTTTATAGCAGTGTAATTCCGCTTTTATAAACTTTGCTTTATATACAGGATAGATATTTCGCTATACTTTACTTAAAAATGTGCTTTTATTCGATTTTATAATAAGAAAAATTCAAGAAATTAAAAATTTTAGATTATATTTTTAATATATTACCGGTATTATCACTTCCAATCCTGGCAGGAGTACCAAGATCTATAAGTTTCGGTGGCGATTTGTCAGCAGTACTCAATCTTCGGCTCCTTGGTAGAGTGGGTTCATCTTTAGTCTCCGAGTGGTTCAACATAAGCATCGGAATCGTCTCTTCGCGGTTTCCTGTTAAAGAGGCAGATTCTTAAGCGAACGCGTAAAACTCGTTTATAACACCCCCATCAATGGTATCACTTTTAAGTAAATTTTATCACAAGTCGCTCCAATTACGCGCTTGATCCATGTTCGATCATTATCATTTTCTAATTTGATTTTGAATTTAAAAACATGTTTATATATAATAAAAAAAAATTCCGCATATAATTCTTTACGCGAGTTTTATTATTATTAATTTTAAATTTATCCTCGTCTAAACTTAACACGAGTTTATTTAATTTATAGAAAATGCTGATTAAGAGTGAATTAGCCATAAATTTTATCTTCATCATACGAGATGGACAACAGAAAAAAAAATTGAGCAGAAGGTTATAAGGGATAGTAAAATTTATAGAATACTTTTTCGACAATGTAACTTCAACTTATAATAATGAATAGGAAAGAATCCCTTCTACTGAGTATATTACGTAAATGATGCTTGACCTTTGGGAGCCATAAACTGATGTCTTTCTTAGCAATAAAAACAAGTTTACGTTTTGAAAAAGTTCGATTATGACTCAGTAATGCCAGGAACGACGACGTCCTTCCTAAACAATAATAATCACGTATTTTAATTATTTATTTTTTAAGTCTATAATAGGTTTTTCGGTTTGATTTTTTTCTCGTTCAAATTTAAACTTTGGGTTGGAGACGAATGCCGATCTTTTATCACATTTTCGAATAAAAGTTTCAGTCGACAACCATCTAGAAAAGTTTGAAAGTAGAGTCTTCGAATTCCATTCTTAAATCATGCCGTGATATAAAGCATTCCACATGGCGACATTAATCTTGTGCACGCAAACCCTCTAAGGATAATCGATAATATTGTTTTAAAAAATTCATCAGGTTATTTAATGTATTAAAATAATATTTCATTAATAACGAATGAAAAAATAAATTATTTTCTTGGCTTTTTTTATTGCCTAGTTTATTCTATTGTAGTGTAAAGAATGAAAATTAAATTTTGCAACACGAGAGTTTTTTTAATATATTTTTTGATATAATCCCAGAACTATTATCCATAAAAAGGAGACATTCGGACCAAGAAGTGTGATAAAGCGACCAATCCCTTCTATATCAGTGTCACGTCCAGAGAGCTATTTGTAGAAAGGCTTAGAAATGACATGGCTGCGAGAATCGATAGACTTAGAATCTGTCTTTCACGGCCAGCTGGTCACATATCGTTGAATTCACACTCTCCCAGCTAAACTTTCCTGTATATCCTAAGCTACGAATTATATTCTCTCCTAAATCCAATTTATCAAAACTAGAAAATGATTTTAGTATGTATCTCGCTTAACAGATGGCGTTACTAGTTACGAGACTTCGGAAACTAATCGATGCTATTCAAAAAATATACATTGGCATCCGAGCGTAACGTACGGTTGATAATAATAAAAACCGGAAAAACCCAAGAATGACTGACACACAACAGCTGTCGTGGAATCGAGTTCAAGCTGATTATTGATTTATCTCGTTTAAGATGTTTCTTCAAAGTGCCAAAAGGTGTCAAGATTAAGTACACCAACAGTCCGAACCATTCTTCAAATTTCAATAATAGAAGCCATTCTGTTAGCTTATTCACTACAAGAATAGAATATATATATATATATATAATAATAGAAGCTGTTGCCTGTAAACAGAGAAATAAAAAAATCCTACGAGTGGGTAATAGCGAAAAGAGAGTATATTTTTCCTTTCTTGCTTGCGACATATACAATATTTTGAATTGTTAAACGGAATAGAATGTTAATAGGATGTTTTTAGATTTTCTAGAAGTGAAACAAAAATAAAAACGAAGAGAAAGACAATTAAAACCAAACGCAGACGTTACTCGTGTTTATACAAAGAATGGCTCGCAGCTAAAACACGCTGACATTTCTTTTAAATCAAGTAAATACTTTTAAATATTGTTTCCTAATTTATTGCAAGATGTTGAATAACTAAAGCATTTTTATCTCGATGTATTTTTTTATTTTTATTTTTTTATTTTTATATATTAGTATTTGTTTTTGTTTGAAGCTAAGCAAAAATATAGCGAAAATGATGGCTTTCAAATCTTTATCGATGCACTTTGCAAACAAACTTATTCTCCTAATCGGGGGATTAAAATGAGATGTTAAGGCAATTTTGGGGATTAGAATAATGGAACCAAGATTTAATTCTAACCTAACTATGAGATACAACAACAATAAATTTGCGAAAGTGTTGATTTACGAACAATCCCCGAAACAACAATTATAGATTACGTGCTAAATTTATTCTAGAAATTTTATTTCTTCCATAATTTTTCTTTTGCGTCATTAAAATTAAAATAGTTTAGTTAAAATAAATATCGCGAATTTCTCCTAATGTGGCATGCTTTAATTTCGATTTGCTGCTAAACGATCTCATTTATATTCATCTTCATCACATTCAACCTTAGGAATTCTCATTAATACAAACGTGCGTTTCGTGAGTCAATGGTCCATTTTGCATTCTTGCATTATGTAGGAAATTCGATGCATAGATAAGTTCGTTCAAATATAATATTTCAGAAGTAATTTCATTATTTAATACGTAGAAAATGTAACAAAACATTCATTTAAACCATGATATACATATATATAAATTAATTCTAATTTTTTTTTGTTTTGTTTAAATATGATCTGTATTCATAATAAGATTAGCATCTACTAACTATTATTAAAGCTTAAATTCGTCCTGTCACACATATATCTTTTTCGTAAATTTTCCATTTGAAGTTTTCGAAAATTCATTTAAAATTTATCAAACTTGCACCTGTCTCTCGTTTAAGAGATTAATGCCAGTAGACAATTTTCATATAATATTCTTTCGAGTTATTAAGAGTAGGAAGCAAAGCTTCGATTCCACTTGACTTTAGATTTTAAAATGTTGAAAAGAATTAGTTTTTCGTAAGTAGAGTGTTATTTACTGTTGATAAAAATTGTTTTGATGATTATGGTCTTGTGTTGGTTAATAATTAGTATATACCTGTACGTCATTATGAAAATAAAAACAATTATTATTGAGAAAGATAGAATAGAAACTTTAAATAAGAATACAAAATCAAAGCAAAGAAAATGTAAAAATGATCGAACTTACAAAGCTTATCTTTGTTAAGTTTAATAGAAAAAAAATCAACCCTTTGAAACTAAAATATATATATAAAAAGATAACTTAATAAGAAAAAAAAGCTTATTAATTATAAGCATTATGTTTTAGCCTTTACTAAAAAAAACCAAAGAAAATAATGAAAATAATATATACTATAGGCCTATATTGTAATTTAAATAAACATCGACAGGTTTGCCTTAGATGAAACAATTCAAATATGGAGCCTAGTTTTATAAAAACTGTATACATTTTCAAGCTTGTTCTCTATTGGCTCTCAAGAATTGAACTGCTTTAAATAAGACTGTCCTGGAATGTTGAGTATAAGCATATGTCTTTCCAGCACGTCGCGAAATACTCTATGGATGACAGACATATTCTACATATATGTATATGTACTTTTATTTTGAAATTCAACAGTTTCCAAGATGGTAAGAGACAACAAAATTGAAACATTTCACAACTTCACTCACCCATTTTCGGTCCCAAGATATCCTTTGGGTGATTCTGTTTGAGGGCATTCACTCTTCTTCCCTGTGGATTATCCGCATTGGGATTAGGCGCTCTAACCACCCGTGGACCACGGGGTTGTTCGACTGGCAAAACTCTCCTCCTCTTCTTGGGCAACTTGGCGCGCGCTTGGGTGTGGGAATAGAACATGGCAAAATTTGATACGATAACTGGAACAGGTAGGGCTATTGTCAAAACACCTGCCAATGCACATAAGGCACCGACGAACATCCCAGCATAAGTTTTAGGCGCCATGTCTCCGTATCCTACAGTTGTCATCGTGACTAAGGCCCACCATAATCCTAAAGGAATACTATTGAAGTCGTTGTTAGGATTTGACTGTATTCTCTCGGCGTAGTATACCAAACTAGCGAAGATAACTATACCCAATACCAAGAAGAAAACTAATAAAATCAGTTCACCAGCGCTGGCTTTAAATGTCTGTATGAGTATTTTAAGTCCCGCAGAATGTCTTGTCAACTTAAACAACCTCATTATTCTTATTATACTAAAGAATTCCAAAATGTCAGCATTTTCTAGATGGGAAGCAAATCTCTGCAGTGCCAAGTCAATGTAGAACGATAGGGTTGCTGTAAAATCTATGATATTTACAGCTCCTCTGGCAAATTCTAATTTTCTGGGACAAGCAATAAATCTTATGGAAATTTCAAAGGTAAACCAAGCATTACATATACACTCGATGTAGAAAAAAGCCTCGTGTGGATTAGTTTGCGTTTTATCAAGTGTCCAAGCTTCAGTTTGCTCTGTTGTTTTCACCGTAATGTTACGTATAAGAGGAACTCTCATGTTTGGATGGGTCTTGAGACAAAACGACAGAATTGATACACAGATGAAAAATACCGATATTACTCCAATAATCTGAAAAAGAAAATTATCATATTTTGAAAATGGCATTATAATTTGGAAGAATTACCTCCAATGTTAGGCGATTAGGCGATTTATTTTAATATAGCCTATGGTATATTAAAATACTATATTATAGATTAGTGCACCAATGTAACTGCCAATAAATACCTTAAAAGCTACAAGATATTTATAAATAAATAAAAGATAAATGAAGTACAAAGTAATAAAAATGATTGGTTGTTACGAGTTAATATTATTTAACCTACATTTGCTGAATTTTCCAAAACATTATTATAAAATTCATAAATATAAAAAAGCATATTAAATTATGCAATGAATTGAAATATTATTTTGCAAAATTTAAACTTAGTTAAACCAACCTCACCTTTGCAGCAGTGGAAGAATAAGGCTCATCGAATAAAGACCACATTTTTGGTTGAAGCTTTTGCCACCAGGACATCCTGCCAGCAAAATAGTCTTCTTCCATTCCAAATTTTTTAGCTATTTCCTCGTCGCTCGGTTTTTCTGTATCCAAATCGAGTCGATCCAAAACAGCTAAAGTCTCCTGAGTGTCCCTATGTTGAGTATAAGTCATCCAACAACAAGGTTCCACCTGATTAGAATCTAAGCCCCAAAATTCCAGTTCTTCTTCGAACAAAGGGCCGCACACATCAGTAGGATAGTGTAATTTGCCCGTACGATAATAATTCAACACTTGGGCAAATACACCCGGATGCCTATCAAAAAAATACTCATTGAGTACGGGATCATAGTTCGCCAGAGCTTCTGTCAGTCTGGACAAGCGAGTAGCTGGAATTTTCTTCAAAGTTGCTTTGTATGTTTCGTGTCTAATACCACCAACATTCAGCACCACTCGATTCTCTGCATCCAAGTTCATGATGAACCTTCAGAGCTCTTCAGTATGGCGATGGTTGGAGGACCTGTTTGCAGCCCTTGACATCCGCTTTACGACAACTCATTGTGTCTTTTCGCTACATTATTATCTGTAAATAAATAAATATATATATATATATACAGTATATGTCTATATAATTTATATAAAAACATTTTTATACATATAAAGTAACATTACAATATTAGGATAACATTTTGACTTAGTGTGTGATATTTTAGAGTTTGATGAACTGATGAAGTTAGAGTTTTGATATTTTAGAGTTTAGAATTTTTATCGATATTTATTTCAATATCGATAAAAATTATGCTTATACGTTTTATTATTATTCTGTTCTGTGAGACCAATTAACAATAAGAGATCATCTGGAAATGTTTTTTCGGTAGAACTCTTCCATATTATCTATTATGATGTGCTACGATTATAATTTTTAGGGTCTCAGAGCCAAAGAATAGAACAAAAGCTTTTCCATATTAAAATAAATAAATTTGGAGTCAACAATGAGCAGGCAACATAAAAATAAGTCATACAGAGCATACTTTAATATATTAAATAACAGATAAAAAAAAAGTATTTAACAAATTATTATAATGTAACTTACTATTGATTGAAAGAACGATCAGTTTCTAATTAAAGATTTCGATTTCCGCCACTATAACCTTTGCGGTTCTGTTTCTAACCTTAATTCGACTATTACATTAAGCTAAGTAGAGGAAAATGCAGAGCCATCCAGCTTTAACAATGATTAAGAATTATCTGATAAAATTTGCCGGTACGTATTTTTACTATTGAAAACAATCTGGGAACATGTGTCCGTGCATCACTAACAGGTTGTAACAGTATATAATGCAACGATGTAAGAAGCAGTTGAGGGAATAAAAAAAATCAAAGCAGTGTAATAGCTACGTCTTCGACGTTTGTATCGAACCGACTCCGTCTGCTAATGGCTTTATTTCCCCTCAATTCATCTAACAAGTTCTAGCAAGACTTAAGCACAAAAACTATGGATTAGATATAGAAGAGAATACGGAAGAGAAGAAAGTAGTTAGACCTGCTCGCTAACAGGAAAATTCTTCTTTTTCATTGTTTACAAGAAACTTTGAAAGCGTAAGACGAATTCTCTTAAATACCCTTTTAATTTTTAATATTTTATTCCGCTTAATCAGCCTGAAATGCTAATTACAAGCTGTCGACAAAAGCCTCCGTTAAACAATTCGTAAATTAAAAGTATTTTTCTGGAATATTTCGATCGAACCGGGATGAAATATTATCTTCAGGAATCATTTTTTATGGAATCGAAAGAATAAAAATCAAAAAAGAATCGAGTTAAAGGATGTTGTTGTGACTGTTGTCAGAAGAAGAATCACACCTCTGTGGTCATTCCTGGCGGACTGGATCGAATATCTAGGAGAAAGTCTCCAAGGAATTCTTATTTCTTAACATAACATCTTATCATAACCAGGTTCTGGAACGAACAAGCATAATCAAATCCAAAAACTCAATTAAAATCATCAACAAGTTATTTTTTCTTCCATACAAATATCTATTTTTTTAACATTTCAAAATTAAAAAGTTTCGCGTGTTATATTTCATAATCGTTTGTTATTTTATTAATTGTAAAAAGTAAAAAAAAAACTGAAATAAAAACTTATTTTTTTATTATATTATTAATATTCGATTAATAAATTTATTTAGTTTTTGAATCTTTCCGCCCTTTGGGCACTCTTAAGGCAGTTAATAAATTTAATTATTTTGATAAATGAATTGATTATTTTTAAGTATAAACTAAATCGTGTTTATAGTCTGATGATTATATCTTTATGTTATAGGCTAATTGCCTCATCTAGAGTCAGATTAACATGCTAGTTAAGCTACACAGCTCGGAGTTGACGTTATGAGGGTACAATTTAGGGTCTTGCGCTTTTTAATTTATTATTTGGCGCAGAGGAAAGACCTGTTATATACTACAGCTTAAGGCTATAACAAGTATTAGTCCTGTCCTTAATAAATTTTTAGGAACTTTGATCATCACTGTTAATGAAAGACATTTTGTATAATATTATATAATAAGAACTTGTATAATTGAATCATTCTATTTCTTTCTTATGAAATATTATTATTTTTTTCTTTATACGAATGGAGTTTGTATTTGATAATTTATAGAAGTAAATTTACTTCTCGCTATTAAAATATAGAATATCAATAAAACATCTATTAAAGTATATTTATGTTAATCAGTTCGATTAACCTTGTAATCTGATCTGAATAATTTAAAGTACAAGCTGCTAATTTATATATTTATATGAAAAATTTTAATTATTTATCGCAATGAATTGCTGTTTCTTTTGACATATTGAAAACCTAATTATTTTCGATATTTATAATAAAAACAAATAAATAATAGGGGAGATCAAGGCAACTTCGGCATGCGGGGCAAGTTTGTCAAGCGCTTTTTTTAAAAAACAAATTAAAAGGAGACTTTGGTTATAGGTTAGGCAGTTGAGTTTTATTGGTGGCTTGTTGAGTGTAGTGTTTTTATTGTTCTCCAACAAGCGTAGTTGAATTATCAAGCAAATTTTCATTTTCGTT